CATGCTCCACACTGGGGATTTGTCCCACAACCTGGGCATGCGCTGTGACCAGGAATCGAACTGGTAACCTCTTGGTGCATGGGTCAATGCTCAACCACTGAGCCACACTGGTCAGGTGCGGCAAAAACAAACAAAAGAAAACAGTAAGGAGAAATATACAGAGTACTCAAAACTCAACAAAAGGAAAACAAACAATCCAATTAAAAAATGGGCAAAGGACCTGAATAGACATTTCTCCAAGCAGGACATACAAATGGCCAGGAGACATATGAAAACATGTTCATTATCGCTAATCATCAGAGAGATGCAAATTAACATAACTATGAGGTATCACCCACACCTGTCAGAATGGCCTCCATCAACAAATCATCAAACAAGTTCTGGTGAGGGTGTGGAGAAAACGGGACTGTAGCACACTGCTGGTGGGAATGCAGACTGGTGCAGCCACTGTGGAAAACAATATGGTGTTTCCTAAAAAAATTAAAAATGGAACTGCCATTTGACCCAGTGATCCCACTTCTAGGAATATATCCTAAGAAGCCTGAAGCACCAGTCAGAAAGAATATATGTACCTCTATGTTCATAGCAGCACTATTTACAATAGCTAAGATCTGGAAACAGCCCAAGTGTCCATCAATAGATGAGTGGATAAAAAAGCTGTGCTACATATACACAATGGAATACTATGCAGCTCTAAGAAAGAGAGATCTCCTAACCTGTGAGACAACATGGAGGGACCTGGAGAGTATTATGTTAAGCAAAATAAGCTAGTCAGAGAAAGACAATTACTAAATGATCTCACTTATTTGTGGAACATAATGAACAAATTAAGCTGTTGATCAAAAGAGATCCAGAATCATGGAAACAGGGAACGGACTGACAAACCTCAGAGGGATGGGGGGGAGGGATGAGAGGGAAGGGAAGAGATAAACCAAAGAATTTATATACATATATGCACAACCAATCTACACAGACACTAGACTGGGGAAGGCAGGAGGGCAGTGGGAGCGGGAATGAGGGGGTCAATGGCAAAAAAGGGGGGACATATGTAATACTTTCAACAATAAAAAAACACTGAAGTTAATTTTTTTTAAATGAAAAAAAGAGTAAGGAGGCATATATTTTTATCAAAGTAATTTCTCTATATACATAGATATTTCTCTGTATATATATCTATATATATTTTAAAGAATTTAAAAAGGGGGAGGCTTATATTAGTTATGTCAGTATAACAGATTACCCAAAAATTTAGCAACTTAAAACAGCATTCATTATTTTACATGGTGTGATTGTTAATTTTGTGTGTCAACTTGACTGGATCACCAGCTGCTCACATATCTGCTTAAACATTATTTCAGTTGTCTGTGAAGGTGTTTCTGAAAGACAACTGCATTTGATTATTGGCAGAATAAAGCAGATTGCTTTCCCCATTGTGGGTGAGCCTCACCCAGTACGTTGAGGACTGAAGGGAACAAAAATGTGAGGGAGGATTCTCTGTCTACCTGACTGGTTGAGCTGGAGTATCCAGCATTTGGCGTTCCTAATTATACTGAGATTTCTTCCTCCTGGAGAGAAATGTTAATCTGCATATTAAAGACTTAAAAAAAAAATCTCCTCCTTCATTCCCTGCCCATTTTTGGTGTGTGATTTAATTGTGGGAGAAATCAGGTCGTTTGTCCTCCAGCGGGGGTTTTTTTGAGTGCATCCCCACATGTAGTTTAATATGTTTCTCTGCCTCCATGTTTCTTTCAAGCTGGCATTTGAACCTACAGGTTCGATTAGAAGCTGATGGATGGGGGGTTTAAGATACCTTTCAAACTTCAGGCTCAGAGCTCACTCTTGTCTTGTCCTTAAGTAGTGTTCACTAGGTGCTGGTTTACTTTCCAAGGTCTCCTGGCTCCTTGACCTCTTCCATTCTGGATATTCTCTTTCCTATTTCTCTGACTTATACCTTGTGGATTCTATTTTTGGCATTTTCTTCTCAGTTTGGAACTGGAGTTCGGGTTAGGTAGTTCTGAGTTTATGAGCCCTTAACTGTTTCAGTACCTTCAGAACTCACCACATACCCATGCATGCATCTGTTCTTAGAAATGTGCAAAGCTCCTCTCAGTTTCCACCACTGTTCTCAAATTAGCCCAATGGGCCTTCCAGTAAGTTCCTGTCAGCTAGCTGGGTATTCTCAGTCTGTCCATTGCCCTGTAGTTTCCTCTGCTTTCTCTTGCTGATGCCACACAACTCTTATAGCTCTTGGTGGATAATTCCTATTGTCATTTATATTTTGAGGTGTGGGGATAATTCATTGCAGTGGCTGTCTATAGACTTGGTTTTGCTAGTAAAAAATTTGTCCAATTTTTAAATTAATTTTTAACCTGCCTCAGGGAGATTAAAAAATCATGCCACTGCTATTGCCATCTTTCCACTATTCCTGTATGATTTATTTTTAAGCTAGAAAGTGTATAATATTATTAAAATGCCTAAGAGATTATTTTGCTTGATTTGAGATTTTTGTTGTATTGTATTGCTTTGATTATAAAAGAAGGATTGTGTTGAAGAGCAGTTGGTGCAAGAGACAAAGAATTTTGGAGGCTTACTCCAAAATAATACAGTATTACATATTTACAGTATTTTCCTTCCAGCCATGATTTAAAGAAAGAAGTAGATTTGGAACATGTACTGTGTCAGGGCCTGAGTATAAGAGTAAAGAATACAGAGTCTCAAAGGATTGTGGAAATTTACATTCCAGAGGGGATCTGACCTGACAAATGGCATCAGTACATGGAGCCAGATGAGTACTTATATTTATTTTCTTCTGATTTTGGGGACAGCATAAAGATGTCTGGTCTAGATTACCCACAGGCTCAAGCCATGACACCAAAATTGTGTTAGAACCATCATCTTAGTAAATAAGCTAATACAAAAGGTGGATTTTCTCAGTATGGGATCTAGCATAAGAAAAATAATTCTCTTTAAAAAATATTTTAGAGAGAGATATGAGAGAGGAAGAGAGAGGAAAGAAACATCGATGTGAGAGTGAAACATCAATCGACTGCCTTCTGCATGCCCCCTACCAAGGATTGAGTCCAAAACCCAGGCATGTGCCCTGACCTGGAATCCAACCGGCAATCTTTTGGTGCACAGGATGATGCCCAAGCAACTGAGCCACCCGGGGCCAGGGCTACCTTTGTTTTATTTATTTTTTTTATCCTCACCCGAGGATATTTTTCCATTTTTTGTACAGATAGAGTAGGAGGGAGAGAAAGGAAGGGAGAGAGAAAGAGAGAAACATCGACGTGAAAGGGACACATCGAGTGGCTGCCAACCGCACGACCAACCAGGGCCAGGGACAAACTGCAACCGAGGTACATGCCCTTAGCGGGAACCGAACCCGGGTCTCTCTGTACCGCAGGCTGATGCTCTAAACGCTGAGCCAAACCGGCCAGGGCAGGGCTACCTTTGTTTTAATATGAGAGTTTCCTCCTGATAAATTCAGTGTTTCCCACATAATAGTTATACCAGAGACATTTCTATGAATTATAATTGTCAGGCACTATAATCCCTATTATAAAGAGGAGGAAACAGAAACACCTCATTTATTCATTTATCCATTTATTTGATCAACCATGCTGGTACAAATATACTAGTTATGTATGCCATATCAAGTCATAAAACTCAAGAGTGCAAAAAAATTAAAAAAAAAAATAACAAGTCTCAGTGTTGAGATCTTGTTCTTCCTAAGGATAGAAAACTTAATTTAGCCACTTCCACATGTACTTCTGTTACCCACAAATCTCTCCTGTCCCCAAATCATTTCTGATTTAAATGTAATCACTGTATCATATGACTCCCCCTGTTCTTCTGAGGGTAGCCTCTAAATTCTTGCTAATTTAGATCTTTTTGACATTTTAACTAATGATAGGCATACAATGATGTAAAAATATACTTACTGACTCTGAACTATACACTTAAAATGAAGAAAATAGTAAATATATATATACGTATATATTTTACTATAACAAAAAATTCCTGCAATTCTTTCTATGGGAGAATTCACAAATTAATAGAATTTTGGAACTAGAATTTCCATAGCTTATCTCTCAGTATCAACCCTGAAGGTGTCAAAGTTGACTATGAGAGTATGTGACATTGTAGCATTAGCCAATCTCTTCCTGTCTTGCAGATTAGGCTCCAGAAGTCAGGGGACAGTCTTCCTATATCTTGCCCAGTATAGGGGATAAGGCGTGTGTGTGTGTGTGTGTGTGTGTGTATTCTTGTGTGATTGAAGACCACTGAGTCGGCAGCCATGCTCTTCTTCCTCCATCCTGGGGAGAGGTGCAGTTTAAAGGTTCTGTTGTTGCAGTTTAAAGGGTCTTGGACGTTTGGCAGCTCCACTAAGCCTCCTTAGCCTGCAGCCAACAGACTGAGAGCGCGGCTGGTAAGAAAGAGCTTTGGATCTCAATGACACTGAGGAACGTTGCAAAAGCTCTGCCCAGGCTTCTGCTCTGAATCAACTTTCCAGGGTATGCGACGACCATCTCTCAAGACCTGTCTGCTGAGATGAATGGTGGTGCATCCTCCTCTCGACTCACGCCTTTGTTCCCCATTCCCGCCCAGAGCCCCTGAGCTCGCGTTGTGCGCACCTGTCCACACCTCACCCAGCGCCCTCACCCCGCGCGCCCGGGCTGCTTTAGCCGCCGCCGCCGCCGCCGCCGCCGCCGCCGCCGCCGCCTCCGCCGCCACCGCCGCCTCCGCCGCGGAGCAAGCTCCGCCAGGCACATGCGCAGTGGCGACGCCGGGCCGGCGCCTTCAGTCTCCTCCTCCGCCGCCTCCCGGTTCCGCAGTCACTTCCTGCAGCTGTTTCCCTGTGGGTCCGGTTGGACTGACTTTTGAGTCAGCCTTCAGCTGTGGAGAGGGCTCGGCAGGGCCAGCTGAGAAAGTTGCGCGGAGGAAGGCGGGGTTGAGCCTGGCCGAGCCGGGCGCGCAGGGAAGACGGCGGCGGGCGTCCCGGGCGGGCGCGTCGCCCAGACTCCCGGCGCGTCCGGGAGGTTCCGGTAAGTGCGAGCGATCCGGAGCCTCCGGGCGTTCAGGACGAACCCGGGAGCCGGGTACTAGCGGTCCTTTCGGCTGCGGTCTTTCCACCTGCCTTCCACGTGACAGGCCTGCGCTGTTTTTATTTATCAGTTTGTTTTTGAGCCTCTCACGTGCTCTATTTGGATCCTCTGGGCGTGCAGCCGCCGGGGCGCTCGCGCTGGCCCCGCCTCGTGGGAGACGGGGATTCCATCTTTCGTGATGGCATCTTCGGGATCGAGGTGCGTGTGTGTGCGCTCCCGGGTGTGCACACACGTTTCAGGAATGTTAGGTGTATGTGGGCGGTGCTGAAGTGTCTGTAGCTTTGATTCAAACATGTAAACGGTGCCCTGGGATTAGGCACCGTCACAGCTGAGAGTGGAAAACGTTCGCCAGTTCTCCAAGGCCTCTTCTCCTCCAGGTCCCTGCGTTCTTTTGAGTCTTCCTACTATGATATACTTTGCCTCAGCTGATGATGTTTCTGTCTTTCTCGCAGTCCTGCCTGCGTTCTGATGACCTCTGAATAATGCTCACCGTCTTTCCCTCATTTCCAGAATTTCCAATTACAGACTTTCCTAGTGTGCTGAGGTGCCAGTAACCTGTTTCTTTATTCCGTTTTCTTTCCTCTGTAGCTTTCTCCAAATAAGAAAGTGATTAGCGTTAAAACAGTATGTGAAGAGTAGGCCCCAGTCCAATCATGAACACTATGATATGATCATTCCCTTTCTTTAAACAGGGTACTCCGAGAAGCTTTGATTTTTTTTCTTTATTGTCCCCTCAACCCCTTCCAAACTGGGACATTAACTACCATAAATCCTTCATTTGTGCCACTTTCAGCATCAAATTGAATGGCTTTTTTGATCTGAGGAATATTTTATTTACATTAGCCATCAAGTTAGTTTTTTTTTCCCCCCAGTCTAATGCAGTTTAATGGATCTGAGTCATATATGCCTTGGTCTCTCTATTTTCCACCATTCATGCTTTCACTGAAGGCTTGATTTTATTACTTGTAGATTTATGTTTTATGCAAATTTTTGTTTGAAAATGTAGTGATACTTGATGTAATTGTCATGCATTCTGTTTAGAAGTTGACATTATCCTTTTGATTGTTGACTATTACAAGAAAGAATTTTGGAATTTCTAGCTATTCTTAAAAAATTATAAAGTGCCATTATCGGTAAGTCTACTTGGTGAACATTTTTTCTTTAATTCAGGAGATTTTATCACGTCTGGAAGGAGGCCTCTTGAACCTCTGTGCTTGGAGAAGGGCCTTTGATGGAACTCTGTAGGCAACACTAGGGGAGACATGTGCAAGAATTTCCTCAGTTGGGAGTGAGCTTTCATAAAACAAGTCCAGACATGTCTAAACAATACGTAGCACTTGATTATCTGTTTATATTGCTGATTTCCTTTATCTAGATGTTTTGACGCCCTTCTTCACCATTTCTCTTCTGAACTGGCAGCTTATTTATGGCAATTTGGTAATGGTGTGTCTCTGTACAGGTAGTATGTGTAGTCTTTTAATATTATGAATTATAATTAAGTAGTTAATCTTTTTGAAAAAAGATGTCTTTGTCTCCTTATTTTTTCTTTTAAAAATGCCTACATATCTGCCTTTGCTTTCTGAATGTCTTTGCATGATTTAATTGAGAAGAATATGTGATTATAGAGAACCTGACTTTTTAAGTGTTCAAATCTGTATTGCTTTTCTTTATATTTCCAGAGATATAGACAGCATATTTCTGCTTAAGAAAAAGATAATATTATTGTTTTTCTGCATGTTATGATTAATGAGAAATATTGTTAAATACTATGACTAATAATTTATGTACTTTGCTCTTAAATACATTATTTCCCCACTGCACTGATGTTCTCTGCTGCCCCAAGACTCTGGATTTAATATAAAGGTTGTTACTTGATTATAATTTCCACGTATGTATACTTATTAAATGTGGTAAAAGAGACTCTTAATGTTTCAAAATTTGCTTAATTTTAGTAAATCCATTGTTGTCATAAAAATGTTCACATTTCTATTGCAGTTTTTTTTTCAGCTTAAAACAACGATATTCTATTGACCAAGAAAGGAGGTTTTAATAATATTGAGAGAGTGGAAGGAATAGTTGATTTTGAAATAAAGATTTTAATTTGGGTTAGAATCATGGGAACTCAGTGTACTGTAGTTTATTTTGAGATACTCAAGGTTAGAAGATGCCATCTGGGTAGGAGGCAAGAGAAATCATGGATAAAATTGAAGAGAGATTGGAATATATTACACATTTTCTGAGGGAAACGGAATAGAGACTATCAGTTATTTAATAAGAAGGAGAAAAGAAATAGCCGAAAGACAGGAACTGGAATTATATTGAGGCTTGTGGCAGTGTGATCCATTACCTCATTGCACATTTACTTGATACATTATCTTATGCAGGTAATTGACCTATAGACGGAGAAAAAATATTCTCATTTTATAGGAGACTCATGAATGTAGTCTAAGGCTATATGAGATGAGGCCCTAAACTAAAGGGCGTACCAGGAACAGGCAGGTAACACCAATACAGGCAGCTGGCTGAGTAAGGACTGAGGTGGCCTGGAGAAGGCAGGTTTGGCTCGTGGGGACACTGCACTTTCAGCAGTAACCAGCTATTGTTACCTCTGTAGGATCATGTGCCAAGTGTTGCCAAATCGTACTTTTGTCAAAAGAAACCACTGGCCTAGCTGGTGTTGGCTCATTTGGTTGGAGCATTGTCTCATGCACTGAAGGGTCGTGGGTTCAATTACTGGTCAGGGCACATACCCAGGGTATGGGTTTAGTCCCCAGTCGGTGTGCACATGGGAGGCAACTGATCGATGTTTCTCTCTTTCTCTAAAAAAAAGAGAGAAGCCATGAGTCTCTTGATTTTTAAATGTTGATGACGAAGTCAATTTAAAAAATGAAAGCAAAACAAAACACTGTATGTTCCAAGCAAAGCATTATCTGTGGCTGCATGGCCTATAGGTTGTCTGTAACCTCTCCTGTGAGGAATCATTGGCTCAACTCTTTAAGTATTGTAGTTGATCAGGAGGTACAATTTTATTTATTTTTGTCACATGGTAACTCTGAGTTATTCTTAGAGTTCTTTGATATTTCAGCTAGTTCTAGAAGTGCTTTAAGGATTTTGAAAACTGATACTCCTTATTCCGTCCCTTTTTAAGATACATAATTTGAATGAAAGACTAGTTTGGATAGAAACTAGACATTTGCTAAGATTCTTAGCTGGTGGAATTTGTCTATATGTGATTATCAAGAGTGTTTAAGTGTAAGTGTGCCTCAGGGAAGGGGTCTGGTCTAGGTGACCTTTGATGTCCATTTCAGCCATGTGATTTTTAGATTTAATTAGTCATGGATGCAGTGCTATTAATGTTAAAGGGCCAGAGGGACCAAAGTTGGAGCTGCGCCAGGCAAAACAAAGCCAAATCTATAACCCTGTTTTCAGTGGAAGAGCATCGTGTCAATGTGGATTAACAGCAGGGAAGTCTGCTAGATGAGGCAGTGGTCCCAGAGAAGGGTTGGAGAAGTAGAAGAAGGGGTCAGGTGGTATGGTCATTACATGTCATATTGCTGAAATCACATTTTTAAGTAAGTATGTTTTTGCTTTTATTTCAGATTTGAAGACCTGACTTCTCCTCGCACATTGGATTATGCCCAAGGCTTTTCTACCCAATGATCCTCTTGCAACACGCCGGACTTCCTCTGCCTAAGCGGCCCTCATCCTCTCCTCCTATGTCAGTGGCCGCCAGGTCTACAGGAACCTTGCAGCATCCTCCGCAGAAGCCTTTTGTGCAGGAGGCTTCCTTACCTCTGGCAGGGGAAGAAGAGTTACCTAAGGGAGGGGAGCAAGACTCTGCCCTGGAGGAGCTATGTAAGCCCCTTTACTGCAAACTCTGCAATGTCACCTTGAACTCAGCGCAGCAAGCCCAGGCTCATTATCAGGTAAGGGAAGAAAAGACAGTCATTTAGTGGGAGAACATTTTAGGGCTTAGCCCATTGCAGAGTTGTCTCTCTCAGTATGCCTGTAGTAATCAAGATGGCTTAGTGAACAACTGTTTGTTTGACTGAAAGCATAATGTTCCTACTTTAAAAGAAAACATTATTTTTCATAAAATGGTGTCTTAACCTCCTGTATTTAGCTGTGTAGTGTTTGATAGCTTACCTGTTGTTGTAAGCAAATGTACCCCATGAACAAACCTGTGATCCCAGGGAGAACAGGCGTTTGACACATGATGTACCAAGCTCAATTCAGCATCAGAATTGCTTGGAAGAATTAGTCTTATAAATATTCTTTTCCAGCTAATACAGTTAGCATTGGTTCAGGGTAATCTCTGTCTATGAATCTTATGCATTTCCTTTTTAACCTCTGACTTTTCTTATATATCTTGTCACTGCTAAGGACAATACAGGTATCTTCTGTAGCGAGAATAAAATGTCACTTGAGCATTGAGCTTACCCTTCATTTAGAAGAAGCATACTCTGATTTCTTTTAGCCTCTCAGTGTAAACTGATAATTATTTCTAAGATTTAAAGCTTTCACTTCTATGTAGAATAGCTAGTGGAAAACACAATTTTAAAAGACAAATAGAATATTAAATTTTGGCTAGGAAGAGAAGATACAGTATTTCTTTTTATTCTAGATTGTTATCTGTTTATAAATCATATAATTCCTTTTTTGGAGAAATGCGACCTGAGAAGCCATTGAGGCCAGACACCACTGAGTAAAAGGATGTCCTCTGGGTCATCACTGATTTAACTCTTCATCTTCTCCATGAATACCTGCAGTAATAAGTTAGTACAGTGGAAAGATGATCTACATAGGTATTTTTTCCTATTGTGCCACTAGAACTTTTTCCAACTTCAAGTTTTTATTTACTCTGCGAGTGAATCTTTTTTATTTTGTTTTGATCCTAAAGACTGGTGATTGTCTCACTTTGTGACTGTACATCAGTATTTTTTTTTTTTTTATCCTCACCCGAGGACATTTTTTCGATATTTTGTTCAGATAGAGTGGGAGGGGAAGAGAGAGAGAAACATCGACGTGAAAGGGACACATCGAGTGGTTGCCACCCACACGACCCAACCAAGGCCGGGGACAAACTGCAACTGAGGCACGTGCCCTTAGCAGGAACTGAACCGGGGTCTCTCCGGACCGCAGACCAACAACGCTCTAACCACCGAGCAAAACTGGCCAGGGCCATCAGTATTTTGATGGTGTGTTTTTTTCTCTGGGATTTAGGGGAAGACATGATATGTTGCTTTCCTGGAGTTCTTTGTTTGGGTTTGTTTTGCCTTCAGGTGTGGAGTGTTGAGTTAATTAGATTTCTCAGATCTTGGCACATGTCATTATTAATTCATAGAGTCATCTTCTGGTTTTATTATTACATTTTTTTCCCCCTTTCCCCAGTCCTCGTTTTCATTCCCTCTGTGTACCACTTCCCACCACCTTGGTTTAATACAGGGTCTTGCTTTGCCTGTTTTACCATTTAGGTGGAGCCTGTTAGGATGATCCCTCTAAAACCCAAACTCAGTGTTAGTTTTCCTCTTTATTCATTTTGGTGGAATGTTCAGTTTTATAGCCTAAGACTTGCTTTGAGAAATCAAACCAGGGTTTTAAACTTTTGATTTTTATCTGTATAAAGTCCCTAATAAATAATTAATTCGGAATCAAACACACTTGTGTGTCCTTTAAAGAAGAGTTGTCTGCTTTTATGAGGGAGAATTCTTGGGCAATGTGTAATTTAATATGTGTGTATGGATTATAACTATACCTCTTGTTTTTTTTTCCTCCTAATATTACTTTGGGTTTCTGGAGACAGTGATGGATGCTTCTGGTTATACATAGAGAGAATTCAGTTTGAGCAGGGTCATTGGAGTATAAGGCTAAAAGTTGATAAGAGAATTAACATTTATTTAGTTTTTTTTTTTTATTCTACATTTGTGTGTGTGTGTGCTCTGAACTTTTTAGTTGACAAGATTAGTGATTATATTTATTTATTTATTTTTAATTTTATTTATTAATTTTTAATCCTCACCCAAGGATATTTTTCCATTGATTTTTAGAGAGAGTGAGGGGGTGAGAGAGGGAGAGAGAGAGAGAAACATTGATGTGAGAGACACATAGATTGCCTGCCATACGACCTTGACCAGGGCTACAGATTGAACCTGTAACCTGGATATGGAGTCAAACCTGAGACCCTTCAGTCTGCGGGCTGACACTCTAACCACTGAGCCAAACTGGCCAGGACTAATGATTATATTTAATTGCAGCTCTGTCAGTGATACAGTGTATACATAAATTAGAAAATATAAGCAAAAGGAAATAAAATTTTGGTAAATTTCTCAATAATCAGAATTACTAAGTGGAAAAGTTGGAAGAGTAGGGACAGACTGTTATAAGGGACAATTTTTTTTTAAAAGTACTTTTATTGATTTTTAGAGAGAGAGGAAGGAAGAAGGAGAAAGAGATAGATAAATCGATGTGAGAGGGAACCATTGATTGGCTGCCTCTGCACGGCCCCTACTGGGGATCGAGTCTGCAACCTGGGCATGTGCCTTGACTGAGAATCGAACTGGTGACCTCTTGGTGCATGGATCGATGCTCAGCCACTGAGCCACACTGGCTGGGCTGTCATAGGGGACAATTTAAGCAGCCAAGAACTAGAGTAAACATAGAGTGAAGAAGTAGCAATTGGGTGTTAAGAAAGTAGAATCTAATAGAAAATGAAAAGTTTGGGTGTAATACTTACATGTTTCTAAGAGCTTAGAAATAAAGATTTGAATGCGGTTAATGTTATTGGTAATTTTTAAAGAGGGAGAAGGTTTTTACAAAGAGACAAGGCAAGCAGTTAATATATAAAAGTACAATTTCAATAGGAGAGCAGAGAAGAAGGCTAATCTTAGAAATGAGATCTGGATTTAACAAGATAGAACTGCTCAAGATGAGAGAATGTGGATCCAAAAAAACCCCAAAAATCAGAATAATAAACAAGAAGAGCATGAACATAACCTAGAAGTGGGTGAATCAACATAGAAAGAAAGCAAAGAAATGTTAGCCAGAAAGATGTGTCAAAAGCTTCACAAAGGACACGTAAACAGGCAGTGGTTCTTAAAGGTCCCTTTTGCCATTTCTTGTAATACTGGTTTGGTGGTGCCCTGGCCAGTTTGGCTCAGCGGTTGAGCGTCAACCTGTGGACCAGAGAGTCCTGAGTTTGGTTCCCGCTAGGGGCATGTACCACAAAAAAAAAACTGGTTTGGTGGTGATGAATTCCTTCAGCTTTGTCTCGTCTGGGAAGCTCTTTGTCCTTTGATTCTAACTGATAGCTTTGCTGGGGAGAGTAATCTTGGTTGTAAGACGTTGCTTTTCATTACTTAGAATAGTTTATGCCAGTCCCTTCTGTCTGCAAAGTTCCTGTTAAAAAACCAGTTGACAGTCTCATGGGAGCTCCCTTATAGGTAACTAACTGCTTTTCTCTCTGCTTTTAGGATTCTCTCTTTGTCTTTAACCATTTGCATTTAATTATGATGTGTCTTTGAGTTCATCTTATTTGGGACTCTCTGCACTTCCTGGAGTTGTGTGTCTATTTTCCTCATCAAGTTAGAGAAGTTTTCTGTCATTATTTTATTTTATTTTTAAATCCTCACCCGATGATATTTTTCCATTTATCTTCAGACAGAATGGGAGGGAGGGAGAGAGAGAGAGAGACATTGATGTGAGAGAGAGACATTGACTGGTTGCCTCCCACAGGACCCTGACCAGGGCCAGGTTCCCTGATCTGGTCCACAGGCCGATGGTCTAACTGCGAAGACAAACTGGCCAGGTCTATTGTTTTAAAATACATTTTCAATCCCTTGCTGTCTCTCTTCCCCTTTTATTTGAATGTTGTTATGATTGATGTTGTGCCAGAGGTCCCTTAAACTATCCTCATTTATTGGATTCATTTTTCTTTTTGCAGTTCTTAACTGTTTTCTGCTACCTTGCCTTCCAAATTGCTGATTTGATCCTTTGCGTCTTCTAATCTGCTGTTGATTCCATCTAATGTATTCTTCACTTCTGCCTGGTTCTTTTAAGAAGAAGAAAAAAAATAAGAAAATATCACCAAGAAAAAAAATTATCACTGATAGAGGCAAACACGTAATAAAAACCCTTGATCAACCAATGCTAACTCTAGTGCAAGGGTTAAAAGGCAAAAAATGTAGGATGATAATGTGTAATTACAACAGGAGATTAAGGGATACACACAAATGTATATACAAAAGAAGTAGAAAATAATGAGAAAAACATAAATGTGGAGAAGGTAAGTAAAAATGGTAGTGATTATGGAATGTGTTTGAATTTAAGCAACTCCAAACCCCAAATGGACTGCTATAAGTATAGCATGGTACATATGAATCATGTGGTAACCACAAAGCAAACATCTACAAGAGATACACGAGAAATAAAGAGGAAGGAATCCAAACACAATACTACAGAAAGTCACCAACATACAAAAAAAGAGTAAGAATAAGAAAGGAATAGCGAAGAATTGCAAATAACAATCAAAACAATAAAATGGCAGTAACTACCTACCTACCCATAATTTCTTTAAATGTAAATGGATTAAATGCTCCAATTAAAAGTCAAATGGATAAAGAAGATGTGATATATGGGATATTACTCAGCCATGAAAAAGAATGAAGTCTTACCATTTGTGACAACATGGATGGACCTAGAGGGTATTATTGGTTAAGAGAAATAAGTCAGACAGAGAAAGACAAATACTGTATGATTTCACTTATATGTGGAATCTAAAGATCAAGATAAACAAAACAAAAATAAATGTATAGATATAGCAAACAAGCGATGGTTGCCAGATGGGTGGGGGTGTTGGGGAGCTGGGTTAAAAAGGTGAAGGGATTAAGAAGTACAGATTGGCAGTTACAAAATAGTCATGGGGATGTTA